TTCAGCAGTTACCCCCCCCCCCCCCCACCCAGCCCGTGCAACCCTTGCGAACGAGGGTGGCAGTGGATGAAGAATCCTGAAGCTCGAGGTAGAACAACGGCCATGGGGAAAGCGAGCCCGCCTAATGTTCAAGAGCGCCAGGCCGTAATTCTTCCTTGGTGGGTCTGGGGGTGTGTATGGCGCGCGAAGTTCAATTCGGATTGCAGGCCGCGTATCTGCTTTGCGTTCGCCCACGTAGCACCGAAAGCTTGCGGTGTCAAGTGGCACGAACGTAGGAAGCAAGGCCAGCCGGAAGAGTGTCCTCGTCAGCGCCGCGAACCAGAGTCTAGAGACTTTATGCAGAAGCAAGCAGTCCGCTGGATTCCGCTGGCCCCGAGCCAGGCTGTGAAATCCCCAAAGTCCAGAGGCAACCCAAGTCTCCCGTAGTAGATCGGGCTGCTGGCCAGTATTCGGTCGACGCGAGCAACCGTTGGATGCGACAGAACGCTGGCTTTTCCTTGCAGGCCAAGGGCGGCACAAAACCCGGACTAAGCCCAACCCAAATTTTAAGTGGAGGCCAGATGATCAGACCTTGCTAGTACCAGTGTTGCTAGCACCATAAACGGGTATATTGTGAGTCTACTTTCATTGAGGCCGGCCCTGTCAGGAGGAGTGTCGGGCCGCAGGCAGCACGCTCCGTGCCACAAGGAAGCAAAGGATGCTTCCGAGCCTTGGCTTTCGACTTTTCTTTGGCGGTTTTTAGTCTAAAGTAGCGGATTCTTCAGGGGTAACGAAACACAGCGGGTCTAGGGTCGACGAGGTTTCGGGGTTTCCAGCTCTTGAACTTCCTAGTCAGGTGTTTTTGATGCTTACACTCGGGCAAATTCAGCAAAGTCTGAAAACGAGATTGGAAGGAAAAAGGTGTGCAAACCAGGAGTTCCGAGAGCTGTTGGCCCCCCCATTCATGTCCGAAGACTCACTTGGCAGGATCCTTTACTTCCGCGACCAGGGAAAACGTAGCTCCAGAAATATGTGAACACCGGATCAGCTTCCCGTTTCATCCAGTGCATTTAAGTGCACAGTACAAAGTGCAAAGAAGCACAAGGAGGAACAGCAGCATCATTTAGAGCCCTTGGAAGGCACCTCACTATGGCTCAATCAAACTGCCTCAAGCCGTTCAGATGACCTACCAAACTCTCATCATTCAACGTGCACCCAACCCCGCTCAGTACAGGTGCGCTGGTTTGGCTTGCTTGGCTGGCCTAGCTAGGACTCTGACTTCTGACCGGTTGCTTGTTGTGGCGGCAGTCGTGGTGGCTCGGCTTGCAGCAGCAAACAGCACTCGCGGCAGGGGGATGATTCAAAAATGCAGCATGAGGAGTGGTTGTCGTAGCTTCTGTCGTGGTTGTTGTGGTGGAGCCGAGAACTGGTAGCTGCCAGCATCATAGATCATAAGGAATATTCCGGGATTTTGCGCATCCTAACTTCCGTCTCCCCTTCATCCAATTAGCTCCGAAACCTGAGGCCAAGAGGATCTGAGCTAGTGCAAGGCCAGCTTTACATTGCCTTTTGTGGCAGATCCCGGCGCTTAGCTTGTCTTCACGTCCCTGTGTGCGGCAAATCGTCCAGTCTATCAACACCCCATTCAGACGAGGTCTGACAGTGCTGCATGAACACTACAGATTGCGATTACTGGACCCTGAAACTTGGAAGCTCAGAAGCGTCTTCGCAAAAAGTAGCATACCTTGCAGGATCGGGGATGTGCAAGAATTGCAACCGACGAGAGCCGAGCTTTTTTGCGGTTTAGGGGAAGCCCTGGATGCAAGAATCTCGGAGCCCAGATCGTTTCAATCAGACCTTCCTGTCTCCGAGCACAGAAAGTGACCACGCGTCCACAGCACTCCAAAAAAACTAGCGGGGCGACGGGGAATAAGTCGAGAGTCCGCAGTCAAGTAAGCACCAAATCAAGTTCGAAGGATCTCTGCAAGCAAAGGTGCCAACAGCAGTAATGGTCTGAACCATTGCGAAGCAGGAGCTGCCATGCATTTGCTCATGCCCACTTCCTTGCAAGGCAAGCGGCACATGGCCGCCCGGAAGCCGTAGACCCAGGCAGCACCAAGGTCCACCAAAGAGAAGGGGATGCCGGACACAGTGATAGCCTCGGACGGGGCAGGCTGTCTTCCAGCACGACGGAACGCAGCGAAAACTTACATGTTTGCAGGACAACCGGCTCCATATTGCACCGGGACGCAGGGCATGATCAGACTTTTTGTGGGCGGGCTGGGTCGATGGGTGATTGTGACTCTTGCTACAAGCTCGATGATGCGCAATGCTTTCTTCCGAACCCCCATCTTCGAATGGAGCCCATACTCCAAACCCAAGTCAGAAGGAGGGTGCGCATCTAAGCTTCGGACTGTTGAGAAAGCTGAGTGCAGGACCTCGGCACTGCGGCGCATCGGTTCACAGATTCTGCAACTCTGGCAGCCAATCCCTGAGCTACGTTGCATCTTGTCATTCCTTACAGAGTCGTGTCTTGGAGTTCTGTCAGCCTCCAGCATGCACAGACTTACTGTCCAACTGCAATGTCGAGTCCCCGCCAAGGCCGACAACCTCCAGCAAGAGTTGCAGTGCGCGAGCAGCAGATGTCATTCGTCGCCCGAATCCAGTAGCTTCCAAAGTTTCGGAACCCACATCTTCTGATCCAGCATCACAGACGACAAGTCTTGACAAAGTAATATGACTGCCGGTAAGATGGTCAGCAGAGACATTCGTTCACGTAGTGCCAGAGAAGTGAAAACATTGGGAAATGGTGGACAAGCACAGAAGCCCAAGCTTCAGTCTTTTGCTGCTGGACGAGACTCGACATCTGCAAAGTGATTCTACAAGCGTGGCCAGCTTAGCAACAAGCATTGACTACAGGACGCTAAGACGCTTTCGTGTGGCTTCGGGCGTCGGCTGGGGATCAAGGTTGGCTTCTGCCTACTGCAGCTTAGAGGCCACACCAAGAATTGGGTTCCCGCGCATGAAATTCCTCAGCGTGCCATAGTTCCAGCTTTTCAAACACGCCTGGCTCTCAACTGAGATTTTGAAGAAAGCTCCACTTCACTACTCAGTCCAATCACAAACCGGATTGCAGATGGTCTTGCTAAGCCGGATAATTGATCCTCTCCCCAACTTGACATGCAAGTGGCGGGACTAGCGTATAAGGCAGAACGCTTCAGAACATGCGGTGCAGCACACACTGGTAGTCACCCTGAACATCAAGTCGTGATAGCAGTCGCACATTTTCTCGCGGTGTGCGCAACAAAAAATACCACGGCCAGCACTGAGCACAAACACAAACCAGAACAAGTCATGTTGACAGCAGCAGGGCAGGCAACCAGTCACCCTTCGATGCGCAACGGGCGCACTAGACTTTCGGCGAACACTTGCCCACGGCCACAAGCCGGGCTCTGAGCCGAGGAACGTTAGGTCGATGGCCTTTGCCTTCAGCATTGGATTGGAACTGAAGACCATGCCTGCAATCGGCAATCAAAGGCATGTATACCTGAAAGAAGAAGTAGTCAGTACTGTACCCCGAGTAATTTTGGAACGCTCGGGGCTCAATCGGATCCGTTGCCCGGCAACCGCGGCCATCACGGGAAGAAACTTTGGATCAACATGCCGGGCTTTTGCTCTGTTCTCGGGCGCCCGAACCCGAACTAAGCAACGAGACGTGCGCATTTCAGGCCCTGGCCTACTGCAACGACGCCGCCGATTGTTGCAGCCGCCAGCAGCTTGTCCTTCGTGTTGCTCTGACGCAAGGCTGGATGGGCAGAAGTCAGATTACCTGCTTCACTGCCCAGTCCTTGAAGCTGCCCATGGCGTTTTGCAGCCACCGCGCCTCAGTGACATGCGAATCTCCTCCGAACATGGTCGGGCTGGCGACCTCTTCTATGCGAGCGCATCAATTCATCCATCCTGTCTTAGAGCCCACCCGTGGATCAACTATGCAATCGTGAAATCGACAGCAAGTAACAAGAAGGATACCGAGGACACCAACACGAACAGCCCAATCCAGAACAACTTGATGAGCATGATGGTGATGCTGCTGTCGCCCCTGCTGCTGCTGCTGCTGCTGTTGCTGCATTCCTGTTCCTACTTACTCCTACGCCTCGGCTGAAAGGACTACGGCAGCGATGAGGACTACACCTACTACGACTCCTGCTGCTACTGCTACTGCTGATGCTTCTGCTACTGCTGCTACTACTACTACTACTACTACTACTCCTACTACTCCTGCTACTCCTGCTGCTGCTGCTGCTTCTGCTGCTACTACTATTGCTACTACTGCTACTGCTGCTCCTACTGCCACTGCTA